CTGGGTGGCTCAGTCGGTTAAGCGTCCAACTTCGGCTCAGGTCACGATTTCACGGTTCGTGGGTTTGAGCCCCACATCGGGCTCTGTGCTGACAGCTCAGAGCCTGTAGCCTGCTTTGGATTCTGTGTCTCCCTCTCTCTCCACCCGTTACCCACTCATACTCTCTGTCTCTGTCTCTCTCAAAAATGAATAAACATTTTTTAAAAATTTAAGTATAGGGACCAAACTAATAGTTACCAGAAGAGAAGTGGGTGAGGGATGAGTGAAACAGGTGAAGGGGATTAAGAGCACACTTGTCATGATGAGCACTGAGTAGTATATGGAATTATTGAATCACTGTATTGTATGCCTGGAACTAATATAACACTGTACGTTAACTACACTGGAATTTTTAAAAATAAATTTAAAAAATAGTAACTAAAAATAAATAAAGTTACTCTAGATGAAATAATTTGAACAAAATCCTGTTTACGAAGGAAACCTCCACTGAGAATCCCTGCCTAGTTTTACATCAAATGTCATAGAACTTGTATGCTCGCTGCTCTGTAAATATCAGGTACCAGCCTTTGCCCAAGACGGACACAGATGTGCTCTGAGGTCTGCATGACACTTTCTGTTAATGTTGTTTCACAGGGACAGTGACTGGTATCCTTCAAGAGAGCTATTTTGTAGAGTATGCAGTCCAGATGAGGAGCTAGACAGCAGGATATTTGTCATTGAAAACAGAGGCCCCTTTTAGCTGTCATTAGCTCTATTCAGTCATTCACTGAATGGATAGACATACGAGAGCAAGCTTTGGCGGAGTAAGCCGGGATGGAACCCGGAGGTGCTGGGAAGTGCTGTGCGAGATGCGCACCAGTGAGCACCAAAGATAACCATCACTGTTCTGGAATTGTAATGGGGTACGTCCTCTGGGCCAAAGAATTTCAAGGGGCCTTACAGGGCCATGGGCAAGGGTGACATAGACTTCCCAGGCCTGTGGCAGAGACCATTTTGTATCACATTTATGTAATGATCCCAAGACCCAAACGATGGTATTGTCTGCAATGTCCACTACTGGGGGAAGAGTATTAGAAATCTCTTCACCATCCTCATTGAGAAGACTCTTGGCTGCAAACTTGGGCCTTCTGAAGAAGATGTTGAGTATGGAGCAGATCCATTTCTCCCTATTTGGCAATCTGTGTGATTCCAGGGGTTCTGTGCATGGTTTGAACCATACTGGGGGTGGGAGGGTTGGAAATCACAGTGCCCAGCAGAGAAGCCCAGCAAAGCTGATTTCCCCTAAGACCAACTAAACTGATTCCAGAAGTCCAGAGGTTCCTACCTGTTACACATGTGACCTCTAGTGGCCATAACCGGTAAAACTTGCTCCAAAGATGGGTGGTTTTGTGGGAATACTCACAGGAAAGTATCTTTTAATGTGCAATACTTGATTACTTTCTATATTAACCCTTCGCCCTCTTCACGATTCTCTTTCAGCATACATACCACCATATAAGTTAGCCATAATCAACACGATTTGGTTTCCAGACAAGACCCAATTCTGATTGTTACTTTAGCTAACGTAACTTGGGCTGGCATTAACATCTGAGTCTTTGTGGTCTAAACCACTCACAGCTGTCATGGCATCGACCCTGACTACATCCCAGGGTTCTGTAAGGATCAAACGACATGAAGCCTATCTAAATAAATAAAATTCCATATAAATGTGCTTGCTATTACTGCAAAGCCATTGAGTCTGTGATTCTGTAGACCACAGTTGTTTCCTTTCATGGAATTGGTGAAGACATTTAAACTCTTCCGTCAAATCCTTTGTTGGGCATTTTGTCCCAATCCACAATCATGTAACAAGTGGCTGCTATGTAGATGTCATAATGTACTTACTGGTTCATTCAACAAACATGAGCTCCTACCTTATGCCAAATACCCCAGTGGGTACTGGGGTCCAGCAATGACCGGGAAAGACAAAGTCCTGTTCTAACAGAGTTTACACTGAGCTGAGTTAAAGGATTCATAATGGCTGAAATTGCCCCTATCCTTGGTTGAAATGTAGTTTAACCGAGAAGAGAAGCTGAAAGACCCAGGTATGATACAAGCCGGTATGTGAAAAGGCTTTCATAGAAGCATAAACAAAGTGCCTTGAGGCAGGGATCCCACTGTGGCCGTGTGAAAGAGTGAAGTTAGAGCAGTGAATATGGACTCTGCCTTCTGGAAGATTAATGCTGGAGGGGTGACTTCTGGGAAATTATTTGGAGACCCATGAGGTCACCTGGAAAATGATCAACCTGGCAATTTGGTGTCTGTTTCTGGTTCTGGAAGAGTTGCCAAAATTGTATGCAGAACATGCCCTTGAAATTGCTCGTTCTTACTTGGTACACATATTGTTCTTTGAGATTCCAAATAAGAAGTAACCAGATTCACTGGATGCTCCCTGTTTTAAATATTAACTTTATACACTATAAATATTAACTTAGTCCTTATACCAACTGCATGAGGTAGGTACCTCTGGCATCATACCCATATGCTGGTAGAGACCCTGAGGTAGAGAAACAGTAAGTAACCTGCCCAAGGTTATTTGGTTGCAAACAGTGGTGGATTCACCCCCAAGCAGCTGGTTCCAGAGCTGCATGCTCACCACTGTGCTGTATCATTTCTCAAGACTTCATCTCAAAGTCCATGGGAACTTTGAGAGACACACACAAAACATTCAGGGTAATACTGCCTGAGGTCTAGGATTGTTTCAAAATATTTCAGTATGAAAGAAAGGAAGGAGGGATGGATGGAGAAGCCATGGGGCTAATTATTTGGGGTGCCTGGGTGGCTTGGTCCGTTAAGTATCCAACTCTTGATTTCAGCTCAGGCATGATCTCACAGTTCATGAGTTCAAGCTCCATGCTATCAGCACAGAGCCTGCTTGGGATTCTCTCTCTCCCTCTTTCTCACCCCCTCTCCCATTTAAAAAAAAAAATCTTGCTATGATTTAATATAGTTGATAGATCTCTGGACGTCATTATAGCATTGCCTGTTTCCATAATAACAAATATAATCCATTGCTAGTGAATTTGAGGATTTTGAAATATTTATTGTCTTACTATCAATATCAAAAGATTTTTTATTAATGATCTGGGTAATTTAGGTCAAGGTAATGAGTTTCACTAAGTTATTGATGCCGATGGAGTGCCCTGTGTATTGAAAACTACTTGGCACCTCATTTGCCAAACATCATGGCCATATGCCTTCTGTTTTAACCAATAAGGATCGATTTTCCTGCCAAAAGTATTTGATAGAATAGCAAAATGTCTGAGTGAGAAGGAACCTCAAAGACATCTTCTTCCAAAGTTCTCATTTTATAGCTGGGAAAGTTGAAGCTTGGAGAACTTACATGATCAGCCCAAGATAAGAGTGGGAACATTAAATGTCTGCGTACAGTGAACACATAGCTAGTTAATGGCAGTGCGAGCATTAAAACCTGGGTTTCTTGAACTCTAGGGGGTGGGGAGGGTGTCCAGCTCCCATCAAGACGAGCCGTGCCCAGAAAAGGTCTGTGGCAGCCCACGTGGAGACATGGTCTCCAGGCTTCACCTGTGACTGCAGCTCTGGCAGGCAGTTTCCAAGTTAGAAGTCTGGGGAGGAAGGTGAAGAAAGACGAGCCACCTTCTGCTTGGGAATGGAAGGGGTCAAATGGATCTTCATCCTCCCCTGGTGGTTTCCAAACTTTTAGATCCAAACTTTTAGGTTTTGTGTGTTTCCTCCACATCCCCTGTTCACACGCACCAGCTGTGTCTCCCACAAGGGGCATGGAAAAATCATGGCTGTTGCACCTGAAGATGCTTCTCAGTGGTGTAGTTGGGGCTCTGTGGCAATGAAATCCCCCTGTGATGGGCCAGAAGCGAGGGCCAGCCATTTCCCAAGAGGGAAGGATGCAGACGGTCTTAATAAAAGTATCTGGAGTCACCACCACCACACCATCCCAGTTGACCTGATCTCCTTATCCTGAGGAGTCTTATAGGGCACTTCAAAAGGTAAAATCTCACCTTTCCCATGTCTGGTGCACACCTTTCTACAACACTGAACCTGCCTTTGTCGGTGGCATTCCTTCCTTAAGGTCTAGAGGTCTCAAACCACATGCTTTCCAGGACCCCAGCAGGTAAGGTAAAGAATGAAGTTGGCCAGGGATACCTGGGTGGCTCAGTTGGTTAAGTGTCCAACTCTCAGTTTCGGCTTAGGTCATGATTTCACAGCTTCGTGGGTTCAAGCCCCATGTCGGGCTCTGCACTGATAGTGTAGAGCCTGCTTGAGAATCTCTCTCTGTCTCTCTGTCTCTCTCTCTCTGTCTCTCTACCCCTCCCCTGCTCATGCTGTCTCTGTCTCTCTCAAAATAAATAAATACAACTTAAAAAATTTTTTTTAAAAATGAAGCTGCCCAATGTGAGACCGGGGTGACCTGGAAAGAACAAGCCTAGTTCTCACTCAAAGGTTTTACAGCACTGTTTTGTCCATGCAGAAAGGCTCAGCAGGTCAGCTGCCCCATCGGCAGCTTCTGGCGCAGGAAAGAACCTGGTGAGGTTCTTTGCCTCATCTGGTACCATCGCCAGCACCCTGGGACCTCAGCACGGCGTCCCTTTGGAAGAGCCTGTTTTCCTCAACTGCAAAAAGTGGGTTTCTGAGGCTTGAAGGCACTGCCCTCTCTGACGGTCGGATTCAGGAATCCGTGATGGAGCACATGTCCCCAAAACAACTGGAGCCAGTGTCTGACACGTATTTGCAAAGTGCCTGTGGGCCTCCTTGGTCTGACTGACTTGCAGCACTGGCGTCCTCGAGGCCTTTGTTGGATGGGCTTGTGACATTATCTTTATTAGCTGTCAGTCCCTGTGCTCAGGTGACCACCACCGTTCCGGGACCACTCTGTCAGAGGTTGCTTTTTGCCAGTGTTCTCTTCTTTCTAGAAGCCGTCATGAGCAGACGAGCTTAGAAAGGGTGTTCTCTTCGTGTTGTTTCAGGGAAAATAGAGAAAGTCAAACCTCCTCCATCCCCCTCACCTGAAGGCCCCAGCTCGCAGCCTGACTTAGCCCCCGAAGAGGCTGCCGGATCCCAGCGGCCCAAGAATCTGATGCAGACCCTCATGGAAGACTATGAGACACACAAATCTAAAAGGCGTGAGAGAATGGATGATAGTAGTGTAAGTTTTTCCTCCTTTCCTCCTTCACTCGTCTGAGGGCGAGCGGCAGCGTGGTGTTCGGTGTTCCAGGTCAGGCACGGGCGCGTGTGCACTGGTCTGGCCAGTATCCTGGTTCCAAAGCCAGTTTTCAAATGTGTGGTTTAACGTGACTGGAGTCGGGTTTGGGTTTTTTGCCTTGTTTCTCAAAAAATGTTGATCACGCAAGGGGAACCGGAGCCGGAGCTCACGGGCACGCTGGTGGATGGGATGCTTGGTGCGTAGGGAAACAAACAAACAAACAAACAAACACGTAAGGACAACGCGGGGGGAAGGACACGAGCATCCTGAAATCATCCCCGGGCACCAGGGGGCTGATTGCTGCCATCGCTGGCCTGCCCCGTAGGGATTTTATCTGCCTGGAGAACTGGGGCTGTGCCCTTCCTTCCGTGTCTGCTCCGAGCGATCCCCATAAACGTTACACTGCATTGGAAAGGCTGACTGTGTTTTGGGCTATTACCAAGCCTGTGCATACAGTTTGGTAGGAAAGAGATATTTTAAATGACAGTTAGAAACCACACGGCTACCCTGCTATCCTCAACCCTCAAGACGGTTGCACGTGACACTCACACGAACCCTGAAGGAAATCATCTGCTCCGTGGTTTCTTTCTCCAGTAAGAGATGTGAGGGCGGCTGCTCCCCACAGCCCCCCCCCCCCCCCCAGCCAGGAGCCCCGGGACCAGCCTCAGGGGCCCATGCCCCCCTCCTGGGAGTCTGGTGGCCTTAGTCTCTCCACATTCCCATCCCCACCCAGTTTCACTTAGGTCGTAAGTAGCTTGGCTCGGTTGAATGCACTACCCAGTTTACCTGGACAGTCCTGGTTTGTGCCTGTGGTCCTGGTGTAATTTTTAACAGCATCCCCTTTCACCTTGAAAAGTGCCCCAGTTTGGATGATAAATGATTGGGTCACCCTAACCTCGAATGCTACAGACTCGTAGCAGGATTTCCATGCTGACCTACTGCCTTTCATATCCTGGTTGACTAACTTAAAAGATTTCTGAAGTTGAAGCCAGATACTGAATGATGCTTTTAAGATATTTAGTGGCAAAGAAAGCAAACATGTGTAGAGCAGCCTGATGGCTCACTGCGTCCCCAGGCTCTCCCTTGGGTTTGTACCTAAGCTGCCTGGAATACTGATTCAGGTACTCTTGTTAGGCTGGAGCCTTTGGGAGCCATTCCTCATTTGCACAGTGGGATGGAGCCTGGCCCTCAGTGGGTGCTACAGACACTTTTGTTGCTTGGGCTCCTTCCCCAAGCCCATAGGGCTTCAGCCCATCAAATCGCCTTAACCACTCCTTCTTTGCAGCCCTACTTAAAATGTGGAGTTTACCTTCAGGTATTTTCTGGAGCCCGTGCTTTTGACGCTTAGTGCTGTAAGTGGCTCCTTTTCTCCCAGTGAGTCCACACCATACGTCAGCAGCTCTGGCAGAAGTTAGCTGAGTGGACCCCTTGCATTCTGGCATGGAAGGGGAAGAACAAATGGAAACACTTTGCATGTGACCCATGCAAGTGTTTTCTGAGCACATTCTGCATATCTCTTGTGTGCGCCTTCTGTGTTGGAGGGCAGACATTAGGGGAAAATACTACCCAAAGAAGTGAAGAGCCCACTCCTGCTCATTCCACAGGCAGAGGCCGGCAGCCGCCTTCATGCAAACTCAGGAGGCAACCAGATTGGCTTTCCCCTTTGCATTGAGGAAGCTACTTGGAATCAGCATTTTAATATACTGATTACCCTTCACTTACGCAATAAAGTGGCAGCCTCCTGTCTCTATTTTTCTCAAGTAAATAAACACTTCAAATAAGGAAGAAACCTACTAACTGATCGGGCTGTTAACATCCTCAGCTCTTGAAGTCAAAGCCAAGTGTCTTGCACCGTTCTTGATATTACAAGAGAACCAAGTCCGTTGTTGTAGAAAATTCTTAGGAACAGAACAAAACCTATCCAGTGCACTATATCCTCTTTTAAGAGACCTGAAACTTCAAGAACATATTCAGATTGCTTCTAAAGCAAATAGATGATCATCAGCCAAACTTCATTTTAGAGCCACGTCTGACCTCCCCTCTTAGCCCTTTTAATTCAGGGGACCTTTTCTACTGTATCTACTCAAGTCACTGGAGAATGTGTTGAAGCTTACCTGCAGGAATGAACAAACCGTTTGTTTTCCTAGCCGATCTCTGGCCCCTTCTTTAATTGTCTCTTCTACTGGAAGGCTAATAACAGAGAGCAAATGGATTGCGTGATGTATGATTGTGTAACTGGCTTCCCTGTCCCAGAAGCTGGTAGTTCTGTTTTCCTGGTTCCATTCACCCACATTATTCTGAGGGGGAAACATGGCTTCTTAGATTGTCCACCCTCTAGGAGCCTCACCCAGCTCACCTGAGTCCAGTGTCACCTGACACATCCATCTGCCAGGATTCCTTCCAGTAAGTCACTTGGCAACACTATGAGTCCCTCACACATGATCAGGACCAAACCATGTGTTTGCCCATAGGAGGCAGTGAGTTCTTTCTGGTTGGCATGAAAACAATTTGACTCGCTTGCTAAGGAGAAGGAAGACCTAAAAACCAAATGGGGCAATCGTGATGTAAGTATAGTGATACGTTAGGCACAATGCTATTATTGAGCGTGAAGGACAGAAGAAAGAGAAGACAGGGAAGCCAAGGGAAGCCATGCCTGTAGTTTCATGAGTAGTTTTTGCCAACCCCCGAGAAAAACATCATGGCCATCAAAACAGATTCAGTCCCCCCACCCCGGGAGCAGCAGTGGTTGCTGGAGTCCTGTCCCCAGGTCATTGCCAGCTGAAGCTTTCCCACTTGATAAAAAATCGTATGCAGGCCAGGAAGGAAACCTCTGGCTCGTGGACCCCCTGCCATGGGGATGGTGTGAGGGAAGGAAGCTGTAACATCCAGTAGCCTTTTTCATGTCCCTGAGCTGTCCCCCTCTTCTGCTGGAAACAAGGTGACGGTCAAAGAACGATAGAAGATGGGAAGTTAAATCATGACTCTTGGAATATCTACCCACACGTCACTGCATCGGGAATATTAAGTCATCTGTGGATGTTCTGCTCATTTCGCAGTTAGCGAAAAAGTCGATAACAAAGGAACGGGAGAAAGCCCCTTTTCTTGAAAAGTTCTCCCCGAATGGCCATCACTAACTCAGACCTTGAGCAGGTGCCCACCCGCCAGTGTCCTTGTTCTGTGTGACGTGGTCACTAATGAATGTCTCTGTGCTGAAGGCTTCAGCCAGGCCCCACTGACAAATGGACCCCTCACCTAATTTGGGGGTAAGGAGGTTGCTACCCCACCCCTACCCCCTACCCCTGGCTGTTTACTAGCCTTTACAGGGCCTTTGTAAGAATGTTTAGAATGGCGCCATTTTTCATCTGCCAGGATGCACCTGCCATGCTGTGAGGGGAGTGGGGGCACTGAACTTCAACCCCGCCCCCCACCCCCCACCCCCTCAGCCTGGTGCTTTTGTGCAGTGTGCGCACTGCACATCCAGATGCAGCAGTCCTGTTCTTACCGTGGGTTTCTCTTATCTGGAAATGTTTTCTTATATGGAAATGTGCCCTTATCTGGGCCCGATGCCATCTCTGGTCAGTCATGTAACACATGATGGACTGATGAATCATAGTTTCCTAGAGGGTTCCTTGATGCCTTGCAAAGGAAAGATATGTAGGCAAAACTGTTTTTCTGGCCAGCTATTCTCCCAACCTGACCTGAGCTGAGCCTCAGAAAACCATGGGTTCTTCTTGAGTCAGTGATGCTCTTGAACAGGTTGGTGGGTTTGCTTTCTCTTTCTCAATTAATGCTGGTCTGCATCCCAATCACAGTCTCCTGGGGCATTCAGCCCCAGCCCCACTTCTAGCATAGGATCTACTCTTGGTCAGTTTTCTACTGTCTCTCTTACACCAAAAATAGATACTGAGAAGTATTTCAGCCATCCCTGCCTGTCTTGAAATAAGAAAAGACCTCACTTATTCTCCTGGGGTAAGTCAAAGCTGGGGGCTAAGCAGTTACTGCTTTCCTGAGAATTCCTCGCACACGTTTCCCACCGACCCAAGACACCCCATGGCCCACTCTCATTGAGTGGATGAGGGAAGCGCACTCAGGGCCCCACACCCCAGGCTCCACAGGAAGCCCAGCTTACAGTCAACAGTGTTTCGTGCTGCCCAGATTTCTCCTAGCTGCTCACGAAAGAGGAGGTACGAAAAGAGGAGGAAAGCTCCAAGCTCATCAGCCCCCAGTCATCAGCCCAATCAGTACAGACGTGTAATTTTCAAGCAGTTAGTGATCACAGACATATGATCCCACCTAGCCATCCTATGGTTGCCAACGCCAAAGCCCAGGAAATGCCTCCAGTGTCCTAAGCTGTGTAAATGTGAGGTCATCACCTCAATTCCAGCAGAGGCTGGCCAAAGCTGGTTCTTCTATGTGATCTCCCATAGCTGGCCCATTTTTTTTCTGAGCTTTTCTTGTGGAGGCTTTTAGTCTCCTACGGGTACTAAAGGGTCACTTCAGTTGCTACATGATCACCCCACTCTCAGGAACTTATCCAGACCCTCAGGATAGTGATGAGGGGGGCTGTGGGCCTTCCCCAGGCAGTGCCGTTCACAACTCAGCTACAGAGATTCTGCCTCTACGAACCTTGGATCCAAATCAACTCCTGCCTGTGGTTAGTGTCTTTTTTGTGGGGGACAACGGGCTACAGGACCGCTGTGGGGCTCAAAGGAACTACGGGAAGAGAAAAGGCTATTTGGCTACGGATTCCAGCAAATCCAAAACGGACATCAAAGACCTTGTTGGTGGGCCACTGGTTGCATACTGGGGCGGGGAAGAATCTTGTTAATTCAAAGCACAGAAAACAGAAGCGACAAATCTTGAATTAACAAAGTATGGCTTATCTGATATTTTTATTAATGCATAACAGGGTATCCCCTCGCTCCAAAAGATACAGATTTTTCAATAAACTAATATCAGATGAAGCGAGTCTGGCGTGGGTGTATAATGGCCTCCCGGTGTCACTTCCCCGCTCGTCTGCCCCCAGCGTGGTGCCGATTCCCGGCTGGGGGGTGTTGTGTGAGCGTGTCTCTGCCGTGTACTAACCCTGCTCTTTTCCCTCTCTGCCAGTACACCTCTAAGTTACTGTCTTGCAAGGTGACTTCCGAGGTACTTTTCCACTTGTTTGTCTTGGTGTTCCTGCATGCCTGACCCAAGTGCATGCTCTTGTGGTTGGCCGTTTCCTGACATGTTAAAGGAGAAGGGCAAGAAAGCAGCTCGTCTCCATATTTCTTTCTTCCAGCCTTTGCGGAACTGGGGACTGCCTGGAAATGTTGGGGTGTATGCAACAGTGCTACCCGCTGCTGTGGTTTGCTGTGCTGTGAGGGGGGGGGGGGCTGGAGAAGACCTCGCCATGCTCACGGATCTGGAGGGTGTTTGCACTCGAGGGCACGGACGTTAGTTTCTCCAGGCACTGATAGCAAATATACTCAGGTCTGGTTAGAAAACAAGGCCGCTCAAGCGGACCGAGCTGTTGATTCTGACCAGTCCTTTGGTTGCCATAGCACAAATCCAGAGAGTTCGGCTCCATAGCCTCAGGACAAGTTACTCCAACACCGAACCATCCCAGTGCCCACTTCCCTCCCTGCCCGGATCTTGAAACCTGTTTTTGTTTGTTTTAGAAGCTCCTGTCAGTATTGAATTTCCCCGAACCTCCTCCTTTCTGTACAGTTTCCTTTTACACAGATTTCACAAATACCTGTGCTGTGAAAAGTCACAGTGTTTCCTTTTCCTCTATTTTTAAATATTTTTCCTTTTTTTATGGGAAAACACTGTGTTTTCCTATTTGTTTTCTTTAGCATTTTACTATTTTTAAAAGAATTATTTTAAATCTACAGCACTGTGGGGAGACTCATTCACTCATTGGCTCGATTAACAATCTAGTGAGGACCTAGCAGGCACCAGGCACTTTTCTAGGTTCCAAAAACAGAACAGTCAACAAAACCAAGTCCCTGATGTCACAGAGTTGGCATTCAGGTGTTCCATTAAGAACAGATAATAAAACGATAAAGTCCACCTTTCCAGCTTTGACCATTCTTATCATTTCGTAGTATTTGCTTAATATTTTAAAAATAAACTAATATGGCAAATACCATTCAGGCCCTCTTGTTACTTCTCCCAGTCCCCACTTCTCTCTCTCCTGAGGGGTAACTTCTCTTGAGTTGGGGTTCATCATTTCTATGCATGTTTTTACATTTATATTTTATATGTTTCTATACATGAATAACATCCTATGGTTTTGCATGCCTTAAAACTTTCTAAAAATGACATACTGTAGCATCCTCCACTCCTTACTCTATTCTGTCTACATTGGTTTTTTAATAGGTTTATTTATTTATTTTGAGAGAGAGTGAGAGAGAGAGACAGAGCATGAGTGGAGAGGGACAGAGAGAGAGAGAGAGAGAGAGAGGGAGAATCCCAAGCAGGCTCCATGCTGTCAGCACAGAGCCTGATGCGGGGCTCAGTCTCATGAACTGTGAGAATCATGACCTGAGCCAAAATCAAGAGTCACATGCTTAGCTGACTGAGCGACCCAGGCGCCCCTGTCTACCTTGTTTTTAGATGTGTCCACGTTGTTACTTGGGGCTCTACTTCATTCATTATAACTGCTGTATAGGATCCCTTTGAATGACTGTAGCACTATTTTTTCATCCTCCTATTTCCTATGGAAATGTTGGTTGGTTCTCTCTCTCTCTTGATTGGTTCACTTTTTTTCTTTTTTCTTTTTTTTTTTTTGCCATTACAAACAATGCTTCAGTGAATGTTATTGTACATGTCGCTTTGCATAACCTACAGAAGAGTTTCTATCTATACGTCTAGGAGCGGAAGAACTAGTTATATAAGGACAACACATCCTCACACTCATTACATATTGCAAATTATTCTTCAGAATGGCTGTGCTAACTTATAGCACAGTATATTTTTAAAACCTCCCTATTTTGCAAAATCTTTAGAACCAGAGATGGGAGCTGATGATGATCAGTAATTTTCTTTCATAAGATATAAAATGAATATTGAGAATATCATTCCCTGTACCCTCCTCAGTGACTAATTGTGCTTCTCATCTTGGCAATGGCAGTGGAAGAATTCGGCCCTAGGCCCCTATCCCCTCTGAGTAGCACCATTAAGAATAACAAAAATCCAATCGAATATATTCCAGGAAGGTAAAACTGGTGCCAGTCTATCTTCAGCTGAAGAGAAATTTAGGAAGACAAAATGTTCACGTAAATAGGGTGATTGACATTACTTAACCCCTCTGCCTTTTGTTACATCCCCCCAAATACAATTGTCTCTGTTGATGTCTAGGCAAAGTTCAGCAATTTTCTGGAATCCCCGCAAGCACTAGAGAGGGAAAATTCATATTTAGAGGGTTGTTCAAAGACAACTGATTTTTTTCCCTCCCACCAGGTCTAAATCTGAATTTGCAAAATCAATAAAGCCTTAAATCAGGTTTTTCTATTATTATTTTTAAACTTTTTTTTGTTTTCCCCTCTCCATTCCTACAGAGTATAATTGCTCTTTCTGTTGCTTCTTCCAACAAACTATTTTACTGTTTTGAAAAGAATTATTTCAAGTCTACAGAACTGTAGGGAGAGTCACTCACTCATTCACTCAGTTAACAATCTACTGAGGACCTACTACGCGCATAGGCACTGAGCTGCGGGGCAGCGTGGTGGCCTAGGGCATCAGCTCCACACCCAGGATTCTGGGTGCCCATCTGAGCTTCTCCTCCACCTTAACATTGGTCAACTTAACCTCCCTTTGCTTCAGTTTCTTCCTATGTGAAGTGCAATTAACAATAGTAATAATAGTAATAGTGTGAATCCCGTAGGACAGTCAAGATCAAAACAGTAAGTGGTGCACAAGGACATGTGATGTGTTACTAGAGCCCTGAGGCAAGTGCTTTTTTTTTTTTTCTGCCCAGAAAAGAAAGGAATGGACTTTAGGAAATAAAGTTCATATGCAGTAACTCAAGTGTCAGAGCTCTAGATTTGCTCTAGAGAAACGCACGCGCGCACACACACACGCACGCGCGCGCGCGCACACACACACACACACACACTACAGTACTGTACTCTGAATTAATTATGGAACAAATGCTCATTTAGATGAGCTATGGCCTAACCCTAAAGGGCTTGGCCTTTGAACCTTCAAAAGGCCATCGTAGAGTGGCCCCTGAGCCAGTCCTGGATCAGAAGCCTTGTGCACCTGAAGACAATTTGATCGCAAGGTTGCTGGCTGTTTTTATCATGACCCGTTTATTTTCCTGTCTTTGCCATTATGAGAGGCTCTAGATGTCCTCAGAAATTCAGTATCGTGTTAAACAGCATACAAATTAGGGGAATGAATTAAGAAAAGAGCCTTCGTTATTGGCGTAAGTGAATTCTTTGGGCTGCAGCAAGCAGATATTCAAATCCAAGCTGTGCTGAATATTTCCATAATTATAAAGATTTCCCTGCCCATAATGCTTTCTGGTGGCTAAGCTCCATGAGGGCAGAGGCCATTCTATCCTCAACATAAAGCACTGCACCTGACACTTGGTAGGAAGCCAGTAAGTATCTGTAAGATGGATGGAGAGACAGATTGTAACATGGGTTCCTGAAGAACAAAGGAGACTGAATTTATTTAAGATGATTGAGAATTAAAATAGAGCATAAATAACAAGACAAGGGACCATTCTTTTCAGAGCCATGATTGATTTTTAGCTTTTCTGGAAGCTTTTCAGTTTGTATCTACAACCGGCCAAGTGAACAGATGAGCATCTTACACAATGTAGAGTTCCTTACAAAATGATAAAATTTTATAAAATTTAAATTATAAATTATAATTATAAATTATAAAAATTATAAAAATGCCTCATGTTGGAACACCACTTCATAGCTTACAAAGCCCCTTCACATAATGACAGAACTAATGATTGTTTGAAAACTATGCGCCAGGATCTACGCTAAGTGCTGTGCATACATTGCCCCATTTATTCCTCAGGCCAATTCTGAACTGTAGTTTTTATAATTCCCATTTCACATATCAGAGAACTGAGGCACAAGGTAAGTGACTTTTCTAAGGTCACTAGGGTTTAAATCTAGACTTGCTTGGACTCCAGAGTCAGCACTGCCTCCGGAGAAAGCCTGGGAAAGACGGCAGGTGCTGTTTCTATCTTGCAGATAAAGAGATGCCATGAACGACACCAACGTGTTCCAGACAGGACTGGAAAGAAAGGATTTCCAGTTCCAGTCCAGTGCTGTTTCTCAGTACCATGTTACCACGCACTGACCTTCTAGAAGGATCCTCTATTTACCTACACCAGATTTGGAAGCATTCTTTGCTCCTCCTACTGGTTTCTTATTCTTAGATATGGAATAAGTGACCATGGTATGCTTACACAAGACACTTTGTGACATGGCTTATGTGCTTAACAATGACCATTCACTTAGGAGACATGGCTAGTGCATCCTACATGTTAAGTCCAGCTGTCCTTGCTGGGGGCACTGGGGACAGCTTCCCTGAGGAAAGCACACTGAAGCTCTGGGAAGTGCATCCATTTGTCAGATGTGCAAAGAAGCAGGTTGAGATGGACCCCCAGACCGTTACTCTACCCAGGATTTGCTTGTGCCTCGGTTCCCACCACTGCCTGTCACCTGCATCTCCTTGCTTCTCCAGAGTTGCCAGCAACTCTGTCCCTTGCCAAAATGATTATTCTTAGAATAAGCAAAGCCTTCATTGCATTTTGGATCATCAACCAGTGTTGGCTCTCCTAGACTTTTCTTTAATATCAGAAACTGCATGTCCTAAGCGAATGCCACAGTAATTTAATTGGTTGGCATGCATGGGCTCCCTGTGGGGCAGTGCCATGGAACTGAGCCATTTCTCATATGTTGGCAACCTGAATGTCATCCATCTTGATCAGACTAAAGCTGGAGCAGCCTGGCTGAAGTTTTCCCTCAGGAGTCCACAGACTATTCTAGTGAACTGAAGGGAGGGAGGCCTTACCCTGATGGTGGTGAGCCTATCTGTCCTTGATGTTGTCACCTCGCATTTTATTTGTTAGCATCTGTGGCCTTGACATTGCGTTGGCATGCTCGGATTGCTTTTTATTGGCCTGGGAAACTATTTTTCTTTCCACTTAGTTTCTCTTGGCAGTTTGGTTATACCAAAGTAGACTTTTATGATATAAATGTGATCATAGCTTATGTAAGTCCACAGAGCTTGAGAGATTGAATCCACACTGGTCCAGTTGTTTGGAATTATTTTCCAGTTTACTTGTTCACTAAGACAGTCTATAGCTGTGCTGTCCAATATGGTAGTCACAGGGTCCCTGAGGATATTAAAATTAAAATTAATTAAACTTGAATGTTTAGTTTCTCAGCCACACTAGCCTTATTCCTTGTGCCCCATAGCCATGTAGCTTAGTGGCTACCATATTGATAACACAGATAGTAATGTCTGTCAGACAGCACTGATCGGATAACATGTAGAGATCTGTGTTATCAACACACTTAGTACAGAGTCAAGTGTAGTTCAAAAAGAGGTGCAGAACGTTTCAGGGTAATTAAATCTTTCTATATTGAAAACTATGGGTCAAAGAGCAAATGAAATCTGGCTTGGAAATGAGTGCATATCCAGAACCAACCAGCCTGCTTTACTGACCATGTCTCTCCTACCTCCCAGCAGTATCAGACCGTCTTACGTTCCCTTTATTATATGCTATTGAGAAGGAAGGAGGAAAGACATGGAGAAGTTGATTTGTGTACATAGTGAACATCCATGAACTCTGGTTAATTTTTTTCCCTCTCTCTTCAGGTCCTTGAGGCCACACGGGTTAATCGAAGAAAGAGCGCACTGGCCTTGCGCTGGGAGGCAGGGATCTATGCCAACCAGGAGGAAGAGGACGATGAGTAACAAACTTCCTTCCACCCAGGAAGCTTCTTTGGTGCTTGGGTTACCAAGAAACCAAGCAATCAACACATTGAAGCATTTTAATGGAATATTTATTAAAGTGCAAACAAACTCCACAATCCTTATGTAGACCAGAAGCTGCAATGACCAACGATGAAAAATAAAGTAAAAAGAAGCCTACCCATCAAACTCTATAAACACCCAGGAGTCAAAAGACAAAGGATTTTTTGAGACTCAAAAGAATCACCTGGATTTGGACCAATCCACAATTGATCCAAAAGGACAAAGCAGTAACAAGCAAATCAACATGGTTGCTCCAGGCGGAATTGAGACCAGCCTCGCTGGGTGATGACAAACATTGGTGACAGGGCCATTTAGAGCTGCAGAGCCCACGCCGGTGCAATCTACAGGGTGTTGGAGACTCCCAGCACCGGTTCCCTACCGTCGCTCACAGCATCAGAGGTGTGGGAATAACTCCGTTTACTCCAGCAGCCGTAAAATGAAATGCAAGTTTCTCTATATCTGCCAGGAGAGGCAATTAGGATTCCATTTCTCTTACATCTAATTGTTTTTAATTGGGAGCAATTAATGATCGCAATATATAAAATCCACCTTCTTAAGACAATGTTTCTTCATGTTGCAAACACAATCTATTCTACATGAGGGGGTTGAGAAAGAGGGAGAAAGCCAAACCAAATGGATTATTTTAGCTTTAGGATCTCGTCTGCTTGTAGTATTGACTAATTTGCCGTTTATGAGAACACATTTTCACAATTATGTTTCTTCATATGAAAACTATATTTAGTGGGCAACAACTATTTTTATGATGGGATGGGGGGAGTATATCCATGTATAAAATCTGTACACATCCAACAGCTTGGCTCAAGATGGTGGGGGTATTTTTAGAGTGGCAATAATTGAAAAAAGGGCAAACTCTGCCTTCGAGAGGCAGATGACAGGAAATAAAAAGGTGTTTATAACTATATTTTATATTATAAAGTGGACCTTAGTAGGAAGAATGACAGATTATTTTGGATCAATCAGAAAGGAATCATTAAAGAAAGGACATGAAGGTAGACAGAGAAACAGGGAGGGAGAACGTGGGAAATTAAGGAAGTAACAGGTATTATTTTTGCTGAGCAACCAGCGTTTTTCAGAATGATAAAGAGAAAAATATAGAATAGAAATCTAAGTGCAGGCTTGGAATCAGCTACAAATCCTAAAGATGGTGTGTGTGTGTGTGCGTGCGTGTGTGTGCGTGTTTGTGTGCATGCGTGTGCGTATGCGTGTGCGCGTGTGTGCCCGTGCGTGCTCATGCACGTCCCTTTGTGTGTTTGGGTAAAGTGTGTGTGCAAGGATTAAAATTCCAGAATGCTCATGGGACAAGGGTGTACAGTTATTTCCTCCAAAGCTGTTTGCCAGCATCAGGAGTGAGTGAGAATTTCTTTTTTATGAAAAGGGATATAGAGGCACCGACCTGATGCAGTATTTGTAATATTAAATTGACCTAACATGGTATTTGCATGAGTCACAATTGCAAAGTTTTGAGCAGTTTTGTAATTTGACATTTAGAGAAGTTACCGTATTTATTCTCATGCTTTGTATTCATAGCTTAGTATACTGTAAAGGATGCCAGCTCTATCTCACTGTCATTTAAAGCAATATGAAATGGGTATTCAATAATTGGGTGCCCTGAATTTCTGGATGAGAAAAGTTTTTAATTCTGGCCATGAGAAAAAAAACTGACCAGCCTTTCTTTTTTCTATTTGTTTTAAAACTATGGTTTTTAAAAGAGCAATAATGAAGCCAGACCTCACTAAAATTCCTTTTTGTTTTTATACTGTTATGTCATAAGCTCTAATATGTTATTCTGACAAATAACAACTCCACAACAGTGTGTACGTAGATGTTAGGCACATGACCTTTGCTTCTTTTAATAGTGTAGTGTTGACTTTAGGGGGAAAGTTTATTCACAGGCAAGCGGTAGGCATAAAGTAGAAAGGCAACCATCTGATAACTTACAAGGATCCTTTAAAACTGCCAAAGGAACCTGCAATTTGAAGCCAAATCCTAGAGATCGGTGGCTGGCACCATCTTTATGTGGTTTATTCTCCTGAATATCGTGAAGGAATATTCAACAAAACGTGCTAGCCACTGGGGACACAAAACAAGATCCCTGCTGCAAGGAATTCATTTTCAAGTGGGGGAGGCTGGCATGGAGACAGACATTCCCAGGAAAATGAGGTCTGTGTTAGACTAGAAGTCCTGACGGGTGAAATGGGAGCCCCCAGGAAGGCTGCCTTGCCTGAGGATTTTCAGCGTTCCCATGGCAGGCACGTGACTAAAAGATGGGACAAGAGCTTCCTGTGGCTCAGGGGCACAGTGGCAGCTAGGATGGCTGGAGAGCAGATGGTTTTATGAGATGCACAAAAAAAGAAACATGCTTCGTGTTTTCTGGACTAACTCTGAATCTGGTAGAGAACACAGACTTGATATAGACAAACACTGTCTTTCCCAAGAGGAAACAGCCCTCAGGACCCACCTGACATTGTTGTGTTTTGAAGGAAGCCGGGTCCCCACCCATCTTAAACCTACATTTGAGAAGAGAATTTGCAGCTGAATGGGAAGCTTAGGAGGCCACCCAATTCGTGGAATCTTTTGGAGGCAGACAAATTGGCCTTTGACTACAGTAGACTGAACCAGAAGCATTGCCTAGAGTTCTAGCAGGGATCCTTTGGTCCTCGCTCCACGTGTAGATAAGGCAACAAATGCAGAGTTTCCGTGAGCCTCCCACAGTCACAGCGCTGCTTAACTGTGGCCCCTACATCTGCAACATTCGCTTGTTCCCTCTGCTGCCTTCTGAGGACTGCTGTCGATTTCCTTGGTCCACTCACTTAGAATCCTATTAAAATGTAAATTGCAGTTCCCTTGGAAGAGCCAGGTTTTTTCTCTGGGCTCTTGAGTTTTTTACCCGTTCAGAAAACATCGGGCTTTGTACACAGCACCGTGCCAGGCCCTGGGATCCCAAAGGAACCCCTTTAACCTTCTGAACAGGCAACAGACCCCTGGAGGAGAGTCATTACTGCCTAATCCATCAAGAGGAAGAGGCCTGTCAAAGAAATTGGCCTCTGATGCTCGTCCCTGCCCCCAAATAGCACGCAAGCTTGTTAATCTCAACTAGAACAAATGTTTAGATTCTGTAGATGTTAAAAGCTTTCCTGAAAGCGTTCCCTTCCACAGTGTTTATAGATGTTCACTTTCCTCGGGAGCTGATTAACTACTGACATGCCTTGGCTCTCTCATCCAGAAATTATGGAAACAGGGTCTGTCAGTGGTAGGAGGCTGGGCTGTAGTCTACTCGGGTGACACAATGCAATTTCCTTGCCTCTTTACACCTCTGCATGCTGCCCACCTTAGACAATGACGTATAAGCAGTATATAGATCAGTGTCCACGTACATACACAACACAACACAACACACACATATAAGGTGTAACAAGAAACACTAAGACAGTGTTGACTCTTGTCTCTGAAGACAAACATTTTTCCAACTCAAGAATGGATGTAATTAAACTATGTATTGAAAAAAAAATAGCCTAAGTGTTTAGAGATGGTGAATATATCCAGTTTTAGTGACAGAACCAATTTCCTGAATTTTAAGCATTCAGTGAGTGAACTGCCAGCTTTGATTTTGTGTTGCCCTTTACCCAAATGACTTTTTTTTTTTTTTTTGGAGGAGGGGTGGGGGGGGAAACAGCAGCAATACTGTGTTTGAAAATTATACTCTGTATCTGGCTCTCCTGTGTATGTTAACCACTTAAATGTTATTATCCTGCTTCAGTTTTATAGTGATTGTGAGGCATTCGATGCAAGTATACAATTATTTTCTCATTAAAACCCGGTGTGTGCTGTGTTTTTTTTATAAACCATGGCTACTTGTTTGACTGGGGGTGGAGGGAGGTCAGAAGACGGACCCGCCAAACGGTGACACGCAGGCGCCCTTGGCCTTGACTTCTGTGTGTCGGCATCTGCCTCTTGCATACTTGAACCACAAAGGCTATACCAGCTGGTGGGGCAGTGGTCCCCAGCCTGTGACAGGCTGTCCCAATGCCCCTTTTTGCCATGCTGTCTCCAACTGCCCTGGCTAGAGCCTAGAAACATCTGACGGGACCCCGGAAATGATTCGGGTGCCTCTGGATGAGGTAGGTGTACTCCAAGGTCAGAGATGGCTGGGCAAACAGTAGGACAAATGGTTAAAACTCAAGCTTTGCATGTGGCTCCTGGGTTCTAATTCTTGCTATCACATTCTCAGCACCTGTATTCAGCTCCCCTCTGAAGAATGGAGAATTTCAGACTTTAAAGAGCGTATGAAGACCACAGATTAATGAGGAAGCCTCTTCCCCAAATTTCCTCGTGCCCTCCCGTCTACTCCCTCACGGCCACTTCAGGGTCCAGCTGCCCCGTTCACCCTCTGACCCCTCACACTTACCTGTAGCGCAGACCTTCTGTCTCCAGCTCTTTCCCACCACCGCCACTCTCCTTGGGGTCTCTTCCTCCATCTCTCCCATCTATGGGACTCCTTCCAACATTCTGGGGCAGCGCGTTGTGATCAGCTAGGGATTCCGCGTCCTGGTCATTTTTGCACCCATCACTACTATCATCTGGGGGTGCTGGGCCGTGCCAGGGAAGTCACGTGCACAGGGCTGGGTACTCGGAACGGGTTGAAGAGTCTGGTATGTCAGGGTGGAAGGGATCTTCAAGGATTCTCACGGAGGAAGCTCTTAGGGCAAAACTAATGTGAGGCATTACTACTAATGGGTAAAGGGCGGATATGCAGGCTTTTTGCTGTGACCCAGACCTATGGTCACTACTCCGGGTTCATCCCTCCCTGTATATATTGGTGTCAGACAACCATTGTGGGACACCTGAGGCCATGAAGTCACTTTGGAGCATTGCTCATTTTAATTATGGGATTCCTATGCCATAAGAGTGTGGTGACTATG